ATTTCATATTTTTATGGAAAATATGAAATTATTATTATATTATTATTATTATTGTTATTGTCATTGTTATTGTTATTATTATTATTATTATTATTATTTTTCAATTTTTAAAAATTTTTAGGATCATCACAACACCGTACTAATGTGAACTTGGAATTCCTTAAATACCAAAACTTTTGATCATAAAAGACCTTTATGTGTTTAAAAATAATTTTTAAACTATAAATAATAACTTTAAGAAGTGAGATTTTACGTGACATTATATATTCTCTCAATAAATCTCAACAAAAAGTCAAGCTATGTGTCTAACACAAGAGAAATGCATGGTATCCATCCCTGGTCTGCTGCACGTGCGCCCAGAACTTTGGACATAATATAGCATAATATCAGCACGCTTTATATACCAAACTAAAGCCAAAAGTTTAGTCTGCCAAAACCCCTTTAATATGGAGATGCAATAATATTTTTGATGGGCTGTCATGCTGGTGCCATTGCTTTTCCAACGTGCAAAGCACCAAACTATGGTTAAGAAGAATAATTCCCTTCATAGTAATTTTTTTCCCTTAGGTAGAAATCCCCTGTTACACTCATTCTCTAGAATTTAGCCTATAAGCTAAAATTCCCCTATCCCTTTATTTCTGGTTTTTCTTTCTTTTCCTTCTTACTTCACTGGGAAACTACTAAAATGCCACTGGTTTCAGATTGGATAGACAAGTCTCAGATGCTGCCGGTCTCGAGAAAAGATCGAAAGCACCCCACAACTTGAAACAAGAGAACCTTTTTCTAAAATAATTAATAGGGATTGTATATTGGGAGATTCTTTACCATTGTTGTGAGGATGTCACAATTAGTCCACTATTAGATGTCAATTCGGGTGGTTTAAATCGAGTCAACGACACACTTACAACCACTTGATTTAACAAACAAGAGTGAATGTGGTCTCCTTGTATTGAAAGTGAATGGTTTTTTTTCTATACTTTTCTAACTAATAACACACTTCTAACATTTATTCTTTGAAATATATGGTTTACTTCATAGTTATTTAGATTGAACAAGAACTCAGGGTCCTGCCAGTTGGACCACCAATCGATGCTTTGATCGGTCTGTTTCAAAATAAAAATTGGATTTGAAAAAAAATCACTCAAAATCATTGTTTAAAGTGTTTTGATTGGTCAGACTAGTGTATTTTGAGCGGTTGGACCAATTAAACAAAATTGGTCATGCTTTTAATAAATTTTGTGTTTTAATTTTTTTTTGTTTTAAAAATCTGGTCCAGCTTCTTCATCTAGTGGTTGAACCGGTTTGACCACTCTAATACTGTTAAAAATATTTTATTTGTTTTAACTATTTCAAAAATTCTTTTAAGGGTGTGGTTTGTGTAAGGTTACGACCTAAAACAATTCAATTACGACGTACCTCCCAATTTTATCATAACATGTAATTTTGGTGTAAAATATTTTTAAGATTATTTGAAAAATCTATTTTTCATGTCTAATTATAAAATTTTAAACTCCAAAAATAGTTAAAATCAAGTAGTTCTATAAACAAATGAAAATATTGAAAATAGAGGTCTAGATAATGTGTTAAATATTTCTAAGATTATATATCTATATATATATGTTCGAATCCCAGTTAACACCCTTTGCCTTACTCTTCTTTATTCTTACCTTGTTCAAGTTTGTAAAAGCCACCATTCCGAGTCAAAAGTAGAATGCCCTCAAAAAGTAATAAAAATTATGTAAAACTGCCCACTTCAATACCTTAATTAATAAATTAATTAATCCACAATTACTGCTAGTGTCCTTACTCTAAACAAGCTTAAACTATCTTAAGATGGTGTGTTATGCAAGTGAGTAGGGAGACATTAGGGGCTGATTTCGTAAAATTTCAATGACGTAAGGTGATTGTGTGCTCTGTTTGGCTAGTTCTCAAAACCCAATTATGGAAAATATAAACAATGGTTTGTTACCATTCTTAATTCTGCGTTGGCAGGCTCCAAACCAGTCATGCCGCCCCCAAATAGTTGGGATAATGTGTGGATGATGACGATGATAGTTAGTTGTTATCATTCTTATACCTGTAAAATTGATTAAAATTTTATTTTAAAATTAATAAACGATGTTTGATTTTGCAAACTAACTTTACCATGCTTGTCGAGGTGCTGTCGATTTAGTGTCGGGAGCTTGTCACCTTTGGTCGTAACTTTATTGCGATTGCATTTTTGTTACTGTATGAGTGTCCCTTCTATTTGATCTTTGCTGTTTTATCGAATTAGTGCTCATTTCGTTACTACTTAGTAGTAGTTAGTGTTCTCTAAAAGTTGAGGTAGTTCCTTTCATTTAATATTGAGTGGTAGATCTTGGGGTTTGATCATTTTAGAGAGAGAGAGAGGGAGAGATAAATGGAGACATGTAGGACCCAGCCTTGTACTCTTGCTTGAAGCTTAGGCGTAAATTTAAAGGGCAATCTTTTCATTGTTTCTCCCACTGCATAAAACTTATATGCTCCCTTGTCCAACCGTACATTCTAAATGGACGGTTAAGATAGTTTCAATAACAATATCAAGTTTCTATACTGTTTTTTTTTTATTTTTTATTTAGAAATTATTTTGACATCAAATTTTGAGCATCCATTTTCTTAAAGTTTCACTTGTAAAGTTTTTTTTTTTCAGCAAGATAAAATGATCAAAATACCCCTGAAAGTTTCAAGGGGTATTTTATTCATTATATTTTATCAAATTTTTTTTTTTAGATGCTTCCCATTGAGATGATGGAACATACAAATTTTATATTCATATAATTTGTAGATAAAATTAAAAACAAAATACTCTAAAGCGTCTTATTTAGATCAAAAGGTCAGTAACTCACTTGATCTAAATTAGACAGTCGGATGGGAGGAAGGCATATATCTTCTATGCAGTAGAGAAAGCATAGAAAGTTTCTCAAATTTAAAATAAGTAAAGAAATTGGAGAAACCATCATAGGTGGCTTAACTACATTTTAGTGGCACATGACTAGTGTAAGCATAATATTCTAAACTTATATAACTTCCCAAGACATTGTCTTCCTCATGCTTATCTTGTATTATTTAGTGAGTGACATAGAGAGAGAGCAAATACGATGAGAAAAGAAAAGAAGCCCAAAAAAACAACACATTGCAAACATATCAACCCAGTATTTAAAAAAAATAAGAAAGGAAACACCAACTCCCTACACTTTAGGTGCTCAACTTCTATATAAGAAGCAGCAGAGTAGAATTGAACCCAATATCCTAAACCAACTGTGTTTCCTGGTCAACTAAAATGATTACAGCATCAGCTTTCTACGATGTTTTTACTGCCATGGTGCCCCTTTATGTGGCCATGTTCTTAGCCTACGGCTCTGTAAAATGGTGGCGAATTTTCACCACTGATCAGTGCTCTGTAATCAACAGATTTGTAGCCATTTTTGCAATCCCATTTCTTTCACTACAAATCATCTCCTCCATCAATCCTTACCAAATGAACCTCAAATTCATACTTGCCGACACACTGCAAAAACTGTTGATTCTTTTTGTGTTGGTTTTGTGGGGCAGCTTCAGTAGTTGGGGTAGCTTGGATTGGGTTATAACTCTGTTTTCTATCTCTACTTTGCCTAATACTTTAATTATTGGGATTCCATTGTTGAGGGCCATGTATGGGGTAGAGATTAATGGTCTTTTGGTTCAGATTGTGGTTTTGCAAGGTTTGGTGTGGTATACACTTTTGCTGTTTCTATTTGAATTGAAGGCCAAGATAGAAATGGGTCCCCAGATTCCAGTGTCAATGGGTTCTCAAGTGGGTTCAGACGTTTCTCCGGTGCATGCTCAAAGTTCAGGTATGGAGCTTCTTTACTTTTTCTTTCTCATGAGAGAGAGAGAGAGAGAGAGAGAGAGAGA